CATCATGGGGGACTCTTGTTCTATAGCGGGGAGCGTTATTCCCATTCCCAGACCTCCCGCCCAGTAAGGTCTTGCAAACACCTTATCCGAGGAATTTCAACAGATCCCGCCTCGAAAACACATGCCCGCGCCTTGCTGCGCCGATGCGAGACCGCCAGTGGAACCCCAGCGAAGAGTAAAGCACAAGGAAGTATCGAACGACAGGATTGCCTCGGTGGGGATGGGGGCTGCCGGCGGTGAGGCAAGGATCTGGCCCTAAATAGAAAGGGAGGACGTCTCGAGCAGGGCTGCTGTCGTTGCTGGGAGCGGCGCCAATGCTGAAGAGAGTAGGGCGCTAGTCCAGCGTAAAACAAAACGAAATCTCGAGCGGGAACGCTGGTTTTGTTGGGACGGCGGCTTTCGGCGGCGAGAAGGAACACCGGCTTAAGGAAGAAAGGAGGAAGCATAAAGCGGGAACCGTGGTTTTGTCAGGACGGGGGCTGTCGCCGGCGAGGAACAGCACCATCCCCAGGAAAAAAATAGGAAATCTCGAGCGGGAGCGTTGTTCTTGCTGGGAGCGGCGCCAATTCAAAAAAGAATCGGGCGCAAGTTCAGCATAAAACGGAAGGAAGTCTCGGGCGGGCGCGCTGGTTTTGTCGGAGCGGCGGTTTTCGGCGGCGAAGAGGAACACCGCCTTGAGCAAAAAGTGGCGCAACATCGAGCGGGAGCCGTGGTTTTCTCGGGCAGGAAAATGGAAGGAAACCTCGAACGGGAGCCTTGTTCTTGCTGGGAGCGGCGCCGATTCAAAAGAGAGTAGGGCGCCAGTCCAGCGTAAAACGGAAGGATGTCTCGGACGGAAGCGCTGGACTTGTCGGGGCGGCGGTTTTCGGCGGCGAGGAGGAGCAACGACTTGAGCAAAAAAACGAGGACACCTCGAGCGGGAGCGTTGTTTTTGCTGGGGGCGGCGCCGATGAGAGAAAAACCAGCGCGCAAGTCCAAGGTAAAACGGGAGGAAGTCTCGAGCGGGAACGCTGGTTTTCTTTGGACGGCGGCTTCTGGCAGGAACGAGCAGGAACGAGGGTGCACACAGAGGAAGTAGGATCAAAAGCGCTAGGATAGGGTCCTCGTCGCTCTCGGCATCGTCGCTGCTATCGTGGGCTTCGTCTGGAGGTCGAGAGGTCTGCCCTGTCCCCCGCGTCTGGCCCGCTTGCAACTTCTTGCCGATGTACCTGATGAGAGGGGGCGGCAGGAGGAGAAAGAGAAATCGACGGACGAGATGCGGGACGGAAGAGAAGGAGGAGGAGGAGACGAGGAGGAGGAGGAAGAGGAAGAGGAGACGGAATAATATGAGGAGGACGAGGAACAAAGGGAGGAGGAAGGGGACAGGGACGAGAAGGATAGGGTTTCCATATCACCTCTCCGCCTCCTGACCCGGGCGGATCGGGATCGCCTGGGCCCGCTTCGGGCCCGCATCCCTCAGGCCGCCTTTTCCTCTTCCTCTTCCCCGCCTCCTTCTTTTCTCCTGGCGCCTGAGCGCCCGCGGTCGTCAGCCGCCAGGCGCGAGCTCTGTGGTTTTGCGACGCCGAGGAAGGTGGCCCCCGCGTGGAAGGGGCCGTGGGCACCAACCGCGCCGAGCGCGGCCGAGCACACTCGGCCAGGGCCCCGCGCCAACTCTTGATGGCGTGGGTGGGTGGGGCCCCAAAAACAAGGAGATCCAAGACTCTCGCGAACCCTGAGCAAACGGCAGCGGAAAAGGGGGAAGGAGAGCACGCAGAGAGCAGGGGAGAGGCTACGGGAGACTGGAAAAACATCTGTTCTCACGAACGTCCAAATTTTCACATTACCTCTCCGCCCCTTGACCCTGGCGGATCGGGATCGCCCAGGCCCGCTTCGGGCCCGCGCCCCTCAGGCCGCCTCTTCCTCTTCCTCCTCCCCGCCTCCTCTTCTCGTGGCACCTGGGCGCTAGCGGTCGTCAGCCGTCGGGCGCGAGCTCTGTGGCTCCGCGCTGCGCGGGCCACCGCGCCCCCCCTCGAGCTCCCAAGCCCTTCTCCTCGACCGGGCCGCGGGGCTCCCCTCCTGAGCCCCCGCCCGCGCTGGAGGGGGGCCTGGCCCCGCGCTGCCCAGCGCTCCTGAAATCTTCTGGCGCCCGCAGCGCTCGACTGACCGGCGCCTCCCCGAGCCTCGCGAGCCTCGCCCCCGCGCCGCAGCCCATGGGGCTGCCCCTGCGCACTGGGCCTGTGGGCTCCCCACCGCCGCCGCGTCTCCTCGGGCCACGGCGAGGTCGGCGGCTGCCATGCTGCTGGCCACTCCTTGCGCCGTGTTCCTCCCTTCCCAAAGATGCCCCTGGAAGGCGTCGCTGTTCCGGCGCCCCCGCCTCTGCTCCAGCGCCGCGCCCGCGCGCGCACAAGGCTCACGCGCCGCCGATCCGCAGGCTATGGGGGCCCAGGTCGTTCGGGTCGACTCCCTCTGCCACTGCCGCCTGCGTCGCCACCCGCTATACATCCGCCCGGATCACCAGCCGGTCGTCGTCGCACGCGAACTGCGGGCCTTGCATCCTTAAGCCCGAGAGCCGCCCCCTCGCCCATCCTTCGTAGATAGTCAGGGCCTCCACGACGCAGATGTGAGCCTCCGCCTCCGCCTCTGCCGTCGCCTCAGCCTTGAAGTGGTTGCGCAACTCCCCGCAGTTGCGCTGGTCGGTCTTGCTGGCCAAGATCTCAATGACTTCTTCGTCCGCTGCGAGCCAGCGGCTGCGCGGCTCGCCCGCTGCCTTCGGTGTGATATCCACCCCGCGCGAGCCCTCGTTGCTCGCGCAGCCTTTTCTGGTCGCTCGATGCGCACTCGCTCGACCGCCGCCCACTGCGCCGCTCTTTCTCGCGACCTCTGCGGCTGCAGCTTCTTCCAGACCCGCCGCAGCATGCGGGGCGTGACGGGATTCTTCCTCTCGGGTGCTCCATCGCGCCGCCTGAGCCCATCAATCGCCATCCAGACGCCCTGCTCTCGCCGCGAGGACGCCCGTGCCCAGCGCCAGGCGCTGCGCCCCCACGGCGCCGAGGTACTGCTTGATCGCGCCTGCCTTCTTGAGCCCTCGCCTCGACAAGGGCGCCATGAAGTCCAGCAGCAGCTCCTCTTCCGCCCGTTTGTTAGATGCGGTGACCTCCCGCAGCGGGCTAATGCCGCGCGCCCTGCAGATGCGCGACCGCCAGCGCCATCCCAGGCTGTGTGACCCGATGGTAGGGCCTGCCAGCTTGTCCAGGATGAATTCCAGCTCGGCCTGCCCCCAGTCCTCCGGCGTCTTCAGGTCCGCGAAGATCGTGTCGACGGGCTTGGCGTTGGCGAACGCGGGCTCTGGCCCCATGCGGTTGGCGGGCTGGCCGACCGTCGGCTCAACGCTCGCGCACTTGCGCTTCTTGCGTTGGGCATTGGCCCCCGCCCTGCGCTCCTCTGCTTCCTCGGGCATCGGCGCCGCGCGAGCCCAGTCCAACCGGGTTGCCCGCTGCTCGGGGTAGCCCCATTTTGACCAGCCGCTCCAGCTGCGCCTGCGCCACCTCAGGCTCTAAGGACCCGCTGCGCCTGCTGTCATCCCGACTCCTCCAGGCCAACGGCTCCAGGCATGCCCTGCGGCCGCTCGGCGCCTCGCCATCCGTCTGCTCCAGGTAGTGCTGTAAGTGCTGCCGCGGAGTTGATGCTGCCCGCGCCTTCTGGCCCCGCTGAACTCTGGGCCTCCCGGTCGATCCTCGCCGCGCGTGCATGCCCTCAGCGCTGCGGGCCTGGCGGCCTCCTCCTCGGGGCTCCTGCGCACCGCGTCGGGCATGGGCAAGGGCTCCCGCGCCCTGCCATCTGCCCCCTGCGGGCTGGACGGCGGCGGCCGCCGCTCCATGCTCGTCGAGCCCCCACCTCCTGGCGGGCTGTCCTGCGCGCTGCTCTGCGCCTCCTCGCCAGCGGCACTCCTGCCCGCCTCGGACCCACTTTCGCTGAACGCGCCCAGCACGTAGCACTGGCACCTCGGGTGGTCACGGCCGCGCTCCTCCTGATAAAGTCCCTCGCAGACCACGCCTCCGCGCCTCTCGCATCTGCAGCGCGCCTCGCACTCCCAGTCCTGGCAGACCGAGCAGCGGGCAGGGGGGGGGCCTCGGCGAGCCCCGGCGCGCCGGGGCACTCGCGTGCCTGCGGCCTGAGCGCGGGGGCGCCGACCGCGCCACATCCCTGCAGCTGCGGCCCTCCGATCTCGACCTCCACCTGCTGCTGCGCTAGCCCTCTCCTCGGGCCTCGGGTGCGGGGCTGCGACCTTGCCCGGCGAGCGCTGCGTCATCATGCTGTGCCTGGATGCGTCGTGCCGGGCCCCGGTAGCGGCGCGCGATCGCGCCTGCCTGGGGAGGGGGGCATTGGGGTGCTCGTCGTTCGTTTCGTTTGCACTGCTTCAGGCGAGCGTCTGGCCCCCTACCCCCCAGGCCATCGCGCCGCCCTTCGTGGCGGTCGGATCTCGCCCGCGCCACCCCTCCAACGGCGGCGCGCTCTCCGCGCCTCGCGCCAGCAGCAACCCTCTGACGAGGGCTCGCGGCGCTCGGCGGGCCCACGGGCGTCGCGACCTCCGCGGCCTCCTCGTCCGACCCAGGCTCCGCCGTGACCATGCCTGGGGGGGTCCTCGCGCGCAGCTTGATGACGGGCGCCTCGTTCTTGCGCGCCTTCTGCATCTCTCCCTGCCGCTGGCCCTCCTGGTTGCGCCGCCCTGCTGCAACTGCCGGCTCTGCCGCGGCCGCCGCAGCCGCGCGCCCCGCCTCCCTCTCCTCGCGTCTCTGCTGGGCCAGCTCCTCCTTCGACGGCTGCCGGTCGCCATCGGGCGGCGGGCGCACCTCCTCGGGACTGTCGCCGCCCTGCCGCTTCTCTTCGCGGCCGCCTCGGCGCCTGCCCCGCCCTGCGCCCGGGGGCGCTCTACCTTCAGATGGGTCGGAAGAGAGACCGTGTCAATCCCTCTCGCAATGCTTGCAATGATGGCTGACCCCCCCCCCCCTCGGCCCACTCCTCGCCAGCGCGCTTGCCCGCGCGCTTGTCGCGGCCGTTGCGCGGGCGCCATCGCGCGCGGGAGGCGATGTGCTCCAGGTGGGGGCAGCCGGGGGTGGTGCGCGGATGCCTGGCTGATGCTGCTGCGACTCCTGGCCGCTCCTCTGCCGCCGTAGCAGCTGCCGCCGCTGCCGTCTCCCCGGCCGGGGCGGGCCGTCTCGGCGCGCATCTTCCCCAGTTCATCCTCTGGCGCCTCGCAAACCCCGCGCCGGCGCGAGCTGGCCGCTCCTCCACTGCCCGGGAGCGGTTGCCCAGGACCCTGGGCAACCGCTCCCGGGCCGTGCTCGGCATCGCATCGGGGCCCATGCCTCTTGCCACCTGTCCACTCACAAGTGCGGCAGCAATGCAAAAACCATCCTCCACTGCGGCACTGGCCCCGCCCGTGGAACGCCCGCGGGCGGCCGCAGCGCCCTCGGCGCAGCGGCCCCGCTTCAGGGTCTAGCCCAGCCCGAATGGAGATGACGTCAGGGTATGGGTTATCCAGCAGCGAATCCGGGTGCGACTTCCTGGCCCCGGGCTCCAGCGGGGCCGCAGCTGCCACCTCGCCCAGGCGCGGCTCCAACTCCATCGGGCCTGGCGAGGGCGGGTCTGTAGGCTCCTTCGCCGCTCCGTTGCCCGCCTCAACCTGAGTCGCCGGCGCTGCCGTCGCCGCCGCGCCTCTTTCCCGCGAGCTGGCTGCCCGTGTAGGCTGGCGGGAGTGCTCCTCCTCGACCCGCCGCGCGGCCTGCGCCCTCTCCTCGGCTTCCTGCTGGGCTCGAGCCTCGAGCTGGCTTGCGAAGGGCTGGATCTCTTCCCCACCGTGGATGACACCAGGGCCGAGGCCGCCCGGCGCCCAGACCTCGAACGCCTGGCGGAGGCCCCAAGGCGGCGCTTTGACCGATCGCGCCGTCGGCGCGCGAGGGGGGGCGGCCGCTCATCCCCCGCGGGCTCCAGAAGGCGCCTTGCGCGCGGGTGGCCTCTGAGCGAGGCCCCGGCCGCGCGCGAAGCAGCGCTCGTCCCATTGGCCTCCCGGTCGGTGGCAGCACCATCTGTCCCCGCTGTCGTGTGGGGGCATCCCTGCCCGCCGCCCGTCCGTCTCCCGCTGACGCGCCTGGCCCTCTAGGGCGCCTGCGCGCGCCCAGGCGGCCTCGCCGCGCGGGTCCTGAGGGCGCCCCCGGCGCGCCGCGAGCCA